ACCCACACCCTACATCCTTTTCTTTTTTCGAAGAAATGGTTTATGTCATTCGATACAGGATAGAGTCCTTGTTTGTACCGGGTTAAAATTTTCATAAATTCAGGTCCTGGAAATATACTCGAAGTCGTTTTCCTCGAGGCTGTTTGCATCGCTGCTGGCAGTATTTGCTACTTTTTGTATCCATGTTACCCATCTTTTCCCTAATCTTTTTACCATTTTGTAGGGAATCAAAAGTTATACAAAATATAAAGGATCCAGTCTGGGATCTGATGTTTTCAGTAAATGGCAGTCGATATACCTTCAAAAGTCTGACGTTAGAGACTGATAGTCTGTTATTGCTTTCACCTATGTCAGCCCAGTAAAGCAATGTTATACCATATTTCAAATAGCTCATTTTACTCATCTATTCATACTCTATTATTTGGTATATAGCATGAAAAAGTTCTCTCATTCCTTGTAGTGTAATACTATCAGACATTTATGAGATGATTCATCATTGTTTTTCTTGATACTAGGTAGACGGTGCTAAAAGTCGATCCAGGCTAACTTTACCATAAAATGTAGATGTGGGTGTAGGTGTGGGTTTTCTGGAACTATACAACCACACTCACATCCCACACGCACACCCTAGAGAAAGCGAAGCTCTATTCTTCTGTGCTATTTCATCCCTAATCATCTGGCACCATAATAATAAAATTTCGACAAGAACTGTTTTTGCGTAAAATATAACTATAACATTAGATCATATTTTCATCCATGTGCATTTTCTTATTGGTTGTTTCTTTGTTCTTCTCTTCTCTTTCCTATCTTATTTCTTTTCTCAACTCTGCTAATGCCTAGTTCTTCATACATAGATATATATTTATATATATTAGAGACACCCGCCCCATTTGTTTCTTGAGTATGTGAAGTTTAATCGTGTATTTTCAAATAGGTCAATACAATAAAGTAGGGTTAACCATTAACACCATTCATCTATTTCAGATGAATAAAGAAAATTTTCGCTTTTATATTAAAGTGCGTACCGCACTTATTATCTACGTGTACCATATGCATGAAGGACTAGGCATTAGAAGAGACGAGAAAAGAAAGAAGGAAGAAAGGAAAGAGAAGAGAAGAATAAAGAAATAACCAAAAAGAAAATGCACATGGAAGAAAATGTGATTCAATGTTATAGTTATAAGTATTTTACGCAAAAGCATTTCTCGCCGAAATTTTATTATTATGGTACCGATTGAATAGGGATGAAATAGCACAGAAAAATAGAGCTTCGCTTTCTCTATCACCTCGTAAAAAAAGACAATTTTCTCAAGCCTTCTATACGAAAATAAGATATTTCCGCCACTACTTTTGGGTAACCCTAAGTAGATTTGACCAAGGAAAAGTATTTTCTGGAGCTCACTATAAAAGCTTTCAGCGTAATACCTGCTGGATTCAAATGTGAAATACGATGAAACCGTTTCAATAGTAGACAAAAATTATGCATAGTGTTGGTGTACTACTGCTCTTTGAAGAAAATATTGTAACTTTGAAAGTTACCTGCATCATTAAAAGTGCTTATACATGTATGAAGAAGAGTGAGATAGATATATGGTTGATGGAAATATAGCACATACATGGGGTTGCGCGCTGCATCACCCATAAATTTATCGCAAACATAGACTCAAGGTTGGAAGGGCTAGGGTAGAAAAAGAAGAAAGAATAAGCACCAAGCGAATAGATAGAAGAAAAACATAAAGACTCGAACGATGAAGGAAAAAGAAAAGGAAAGAGAAAGAGAAATGAGGCGT